CATCAATGAGGATAGTGTTGAAAAGAACAAAAGCCTTAAAAAAACAACAACATTCGGTACCAAAACGTTGCCGATGTATTTGTTCATTCGAGACAGTGTGCTGGAGTTTACTTATATTTTTTGGTAATTAAAAATGAATAATTTTCCAATATTGGGTGCCTAGGATTTCTATTTTGGTTGCTGTGGTATCAAAACAGGTATAGATATCATTTGATTTTTACTAGAATCGTTTAAAGTTTCAAATTCTTGCATTGTTACATCCCTGATCTGGGTGCAAACTGAGCTAACTAGCTTACAGTGACCAACTCCTTTTTATCACCAGTATTTGTTATTTCTTTTGTTTCTATTATATTATTGTGTTTGGTTAATGACATTAGCTCCAGCTCCATGACACTAAGTTTTAAAGTTGTGTGTACAGAAATCACTTCGCCCAGAAGCCCAGAAACATTTAGAAGCTCATTAAGTTTGTCCTCAATTTTGCTTCAATTTTAAAACTTTGAGCTCATTTGGAAACATTGTGCCTTATCAACACTGAAGGAAAGTGACTCAAATGTTGATGAGATATCATTTAAATGCTAAATTACTCTGAGCAGAGAACTAGACTGGCCTGAACCACATCAACAGTTTGAAGTAGAACACCAAGACAATTTAACGCAACAGAACAGACGCATCCTTCAGCACAGCAAACAGAAATACTATTTCGAAGGCACACTGAGAAATAAATGTGTTGATTACATGGTCACATTGTATTCATAGCAGGAAGAGTTAAAGCTCATTGTGGTGTTATCAGTTTTGTGAACACAGAGGAATCATCACATTCAATAATTCCACAAGAACCTTGACATCAAATGAGCGTCCTCTGCCCACAGAGCTCTGACAGGCCTCTATCTCGACCTCAGTGGTGTCACATTGCTCTGAATGCCTACAGCGTACCTGTAGGTGATGAAAGTGACAGAAGGGAGGGTGATGGGGGTTGTGTGGTGCAGCAGAGGGGCTCCTCTCCACCAACAGTCAGGCCAATCTGTCAAGATCCGGCAGACGGCCAGGGCGTCTCGCTATCAGGCTCTCTGCCTGAGTGCGGTGTATTTTTAGAGTGATTTAGAGGTTCTTGTCTATAATGATAATAACGCTGCAGCTCCTGCATGAATACAGACGCTCTCCTTTTGAATGCACTCACAGATAAGGAGGGACAGCGGGGAGGCTCAGGAATTCCAACAGCGCTCAATGTAGCTGATATGAAAAGAGGAAGGATTTAAAGAGCAGTGCCACTTACTTTGAACAAAGAAAAAGTAGGTGCATGGAACTGAACGGAGTACAGATATTCAGTAGATTTGGATCAGATATCTGATGAGCTCTTGAACACATGGCTGCATTGTTTTATATATTTATGAAGAGATTCCCTCAAACTTCTATAATCATTAGCATGTTGTTAGAAGCTGACTGTTTCTGGGTGCTATTATACGAACATTTAACATACTGTAACTACCAGAATCGACCTTAAAATTGCTGATTCTTCAAATAAAGACGGTAAACCAGATTTTTAAAACAATCAGCAGTGACATTACAAAGTAGTCTCCCAAGTTATTAAGCTCATTATAACACAGCTCTTAGTTTATCATGCTTATTGTTACGGCCCGACCGATGTGGGATTTTTGGGGCCGATACCGATATTAGGAAGAGAAAGCCTATATCTTTCTTGGATCTATGTTTGATCTTTAGAGATAGATAGATTAAGATAAACACATTTATTGCGTTGATCCCTCAAATGCAGTTATAAAACACTTTTGGAAAAGATTTACATTATAAGGAAGACAAGATAGTCTCTCAACGAGAAAGTAACTGTGCATGGACGTGCATCGCCGCTTGACAATCTGGGGCGTGATAATGCTTGTTTTCCATATAGAGCCCTCTGCTGGTGAAAGAGAACTGATAGTTTAATACAATGAAACTCAAATGAAATGTTACCTGACTGGTCAATAAATCTAGTAATATCGGCACATATCTGCCATAAAGTGTCTGATACCAACAGTCAACGGATATGCTAATATCGGCCGACATTATCAGCTGGCCGATTCATCAGTCAGGCTCTACTTCCTATAGGCTGAGATGACTTTATCTGAAGGGTAGCATTGACCCTGATGTGGACAGGAAAATAAACCCTGCAGTTATAAATGACCAAGGACAGAAGAAAAACCACACGGTGATTTCTTCAAAGCAGCTTGATGAAATGACTCATATTCAGTTTATCCACAGCTAAAGGACAGTAAAAACAATGTGGATTTAATAAACAGCCCAGGCTTAAGGACAAGAATAGATCTGTTAAATGCACAGTTTCCTGTTTGTAAATCCCCTGCCCATAGGGGATGCAACACCAAAAGCACAACATTAATGGCTTTGCATTATTAGGTGATAACGGTCCCAAAGCTGGAGTCAGAGAGTTGCTGACTTCAGCAGTATATATTTCAATGATAAGCAGTTTGAAGAGTGACATTACAACAGTGAGTAAACCAACTACTCTTGATGAGTTTCAACATCAGGGGCAATAAGTAACATTTTATGTCCCTTGTGTGTGACATTTCCATAAATTACTTTATTTTTAGTGGCTTATAATTAATAATGAGACAGCAGTCACTGTTCTAAGCTACTGTTTGATACAAGGGCTTTAAAAATGGTCTGTAATCTAATTTGGGGATACTTTTCTTCCCTCTTTAAAAGATGTGACCAGAATCAGAACCCTTTGTTTTGGCCGTAATAGACATATCCAATGGATTTGAATAAAGCATCAACCAGACTCTGGTAGATTTCAAACAAAAGATATGATGTTTAACTATTGAGAAGATGGTGAATTTATACATTTATCTGTCAGTGGCTGTTGGTACATGTTCACAGTTTAAATGTTAATTTCCCACCCTGATATCCAAACCATGACTCTCAAGTAATGTTGAATTCTTGATAAGACAAATTATCTTTTTATGGGGATATGAGATCTTTAATATTTTACCTCTGCACCAATTGGCTTGATTTTTTTATCTAGCAAGAAATTGTCCTGGTTGTGTCAGTTTCAGACCCGCATAATTTAGAGGATGTAGACTGGTTGGAGACATAGCTATGCTGAGTCGTTTCACAATGTATTTTCGCAAATGTGCCATTAATAAGTTCAGTCGTCAGTCATCATGTCTATGAACATTCATATTACTTCAGAGATGCCGTAATATTGGTGTTCCAGTCTGTGAATTCACATTGCGCTTTGGAATTGCGGAAGCACGACACAGCGGGAGCGCCACATACAAACGAAGTCAGACATGCACACACACACACCAGTGCCTTCCCCCACTGGCTCAGCTGATACATCGAGATTTAAGGTGAAACGTCAACAGAGCATAATATATCGCACCTTGAAATGTCAGTCTGAATAAGGCTTTGGTGTTGATGAAGGTCATACACTATGTAATGTCTACTCTGTTCATTCCGCAGCTAAAGCTTTATGCTGCTTCACCTTCACACCGGTGCATAAGGATTAACAACCAAAAGTTTGTGTTTTTTAAAGGGCAACTTGGCAGCATCTGCATGACCATGTTTTTCGCAGTGCTTGATTCGTTCCTCCTAAACTACAGCTTAAGTTAAAACCAAATTGGTTTTGAGAAGTGGAGAGAGCACTCTGAGATTTTTAAAAGTCTTGGCTGTACTCATCAATAGTGCAATGATGCGTTATGTTGAATATCATTCATATGATAATACTCTTGTATAGTTAATAGTTTCACTTATTTAATAGGAAGGTCGATACTCCTGTGTATATTTGCTCCCCAGGGATGTGTGAGAATGGAGGCATTGATTGGGCTTGTTTAGAAAAACAAATATGAAGATAAGAAAGAAGCTTTGGCGTAACATGAAGGATGAATACAATGAGAGGTCGATTTTTTGGGCTCCTTCCTGTGGAAGGAATCAATCATATCGCTGTGATTGGTTGGCGGCTGGGGCTCAGTTGGTAGAGTCAATCGTCTCTCATTTGGAAGGTTGGGGGTTCGATCCTCAGCTTCTGCAGCCAAATGTCTGATGTGTCCTTGGGCATGACACTTAACCCAGAGTTGCTCCTGCTACTAAGGCAGCAACGTATGAGTGTGTATGATTGGGATTAGTTACATCTGATGGTCACTTTTCACAGCAGCCTCTGCCATCAGTGTGTGAATGTGTAGGTGTGACCTGCGGTGAAAAAACACTTTGAGTAGTCAGAAGACTAATAAAAAACTATACAAGCTCAAGTCCATTTATCATTTACTATGACTTCCTCCAAAACCGGGAGTTGTACTTGACATATTTCCCTTTTCATATTTTATTCTTTCCTCTGGTTCTCACCACAAACTCACCACACTGGTCTCTTCATTCCCCAGTACTCAGTGACAGCCAACAGGGGGGATACTGAGAGTGTTGGATGGGTTGTGTGGAGGAGAGAAGGATTGATTTCCTGGTCTGTGAAACCTGATGAGGCATCAGAGCCTTTCTTTCTCTTTTCTGTGCAGCCAGAAAGGAGGAAAGTTGTTAATGAGATCATGGACATGGAGAAGAGACTGAAAGAACTATTTCATGTCACAGTCCCCAACACTGGTCAGAGGAATACTTGCAGGGATAGTTTGCTTAAAATGTTTACTGTGAGCCCTGACGTAAGTGTTTCATTGACTTCTCACAACAACAAAGTAATGGGAACATTTTCTTCTATACTGTATGGAGTCTGCATGTTACCCCTGTTTGTCTCTCAAGGACAGTCAGCGAATTCCAAGTGTCTAATATCGTTCATTAAAATTCATTCAATAATATCTAATTTTCTGAGCAAGCAAATGTCTTACTTTCTCCTTCGCATATTAGGTCCATTGTGTTTTGTGATTAGTTTTCCTCACCAAATTCCCTGAGGTGATTTAAAAAAAAAAAGAAAGAAGCAAATGACTTAGAGCGTGACTGGAGCAATTCAATTTGCTTATTTGTTTTTATCATGTGTCTCTGTGCAGGCAATTCCCAACTAGGAGCGAGCATCGTGGACGCCTTAGACACCCTCTACATCATGGGTCTGCACGATGAGTTTAAGGACGGCCAGGAGTGGATCGAACAGAATCTGGACTTTGGTGTGGTATGTATCTACTTTTGTTCAGTTCAAATTAAAACAGTTTTAAGATTGTATTCTTACTGTCCAATACTGTTACTGGAGTGTAAACATTTTACCCTAATAACAGCATTGACTGGAAAAAAAATGGTATTTAAAAATGTACCATACTGTATATATAAACTGAATGTCCAATTTACAGCTCAAGTTACTCAGGTAGATAGATAGATAGATAGATACTTTATTGATCCCGAGTTAAATTCAAAGCATCCAGTAGCAGGTTACAAAGACGTACATGACATGAAAAGCATTTACAGTGAAGTAATGTGACCAAACTCAAGTTATAAAATTCTCTTTCCAACCATGGACTGGAGTTTACCCGTCGCTCAGGTGAAACGTCCACATGTAAACAGTATCTGTGGTTCTTTTTTCTTCATTAGCTGTGCTGCTGCTGTTTATCCTCCACTTTCAAAAACTGAAGACCAGCCAAGCCTTACCTCGCTTACTCCAAAAATATGTTACGTTCGAACGCTTTATACTGCACATTCGGTTCCTTTCTTTGTGTTTAATTTTTATTTACCTTTATTTAAATGGGTTTGTCGTGGAACAAGCAGTCAAGGCAAGAGACCCACAGGTTAAAAGCTCAGAAAACAAGCTTCTTTATGTGAGAAATGGTTCTGAACAAAAGCAAAAAGAGTAAATCAGTCAAAATGTATGAGTAGAGGACTTGATAGAAGAGGTCTACTGTAAAAAATAGTGCTAACTGAACAAGATATGAACTAAATTAAAAGGCCTTGCAAAAAGACAACTGAGCGGAATACAAAACCAAAACTACATTTGAAGCTTTTATCCAAAGGCAACTGGACTTGTTTGAACCCCCTGCCCTCCATGCTGTCTCACTTGGTGTGTTCCTCTTCCAGAAAGCCAAGCTCCACCCTCATCTTTTGTTCAAACCAGGAAGTCCAGCACATCATAACTCAAAAGAAAAGATAAATCAATTAATAGAACTTCATCAAGTCAACAAACAATGACACAATAAATTGTTGTGCTTTGTCTTTGCTTGACTGCAAATTAAAATGTGATTGCTGTTGTGAGGGTTGCGACCTACAAACTTCAGTTGTGTGGCTGTCCATCACAGGGTTGGACGCATTGAGATCAGAGATCTCCAAGAAGAACACAGTACTTCATACTGCCTTCATTTGGATGTAAATACAGCTGATTTGTTTCCAATACTGAAAAACTGCACTAAAGTTGTTGTGAGTCTCTGTCTTTTCTTATACAGCCAGATGGGTTACATTTGATTAACGATATATATATATTGAAGGTAGATATTCAGAGCTTTAGTGTGTTCCTCCACTCATGGATTGTTTGCACTTATAATCATCATCCCTCCTCTTTCTCTCGGCCCATTTTAATCTATTTTCACTTCCAATCTCCTCTCCCACTCTTTCCTTAACAACCTCTTCTTTTTCATTGCCCGTGTCCGTCGGAACTGCAGCTCTCCTCATTTATTTCTCTGTTTCAGTCGTCCTCGCCCATTACCGGCTTCCTTCTGCGCCTTTCCACCTGTCAATCACCTCCATCCACACTCCATTCTCTTGTTTCTTTCTTTTCTCTGTTCCCTGAACACTCCTACAACCTTGTTCTCCTCCCCGCCTTACATTTTGTTATATAAAAATACATTTCCCTTATTAAACCGCACTGTCACCCTTTCCTCCATTTTCTCTCGTAGTCTCTATTTCATAACAAATCCTAAACAAAGCTTATTTTCATTTATAAACCCTTCTTTTATATCCCTCTTTTATCCAGTTACTATCCATGCTATCCTCTGTCTTTTGTTCTGCATTATCTCTTGTCTTTCCCTCCCTGTTTTTCCAATATGGCCAAGCTGTCATCCCATATTTTGCCACATTTCTCCCCTTGAAATCATTATTCCATCCATGCTTTCTCCTTGCCCTCCTTCGTCTCGGTTTCCCCCTCTTTTCTTACTTTCTGTCTGCACTAGTGTTTGACGCCTGAGCTTGTTAGTCCCCCCTACTGAGGCAATCACAGGGCAGCTTGCAGGTAGGCAGAGGGGATCTTACTGTCTGACACTTGGAGGGCTAATTAACCTCAGGATCACTGTGGTTGAGCTGTGGAAGGAGGGATACATGGAGAAATCGGGGATGGAGAATAGTGGAAAGGGCAAAAAGTCCTAGATTGAATAGAGGATGAGATAGAAATTGGGTCTGGAGAGATGGAGGGTAGAAAACAGAGGAGTCAGGAAGAAAAATCTGGGGTAGAGAGAGTGGAAGAGGGAGGACAGACAGAAATAAGTCTGGTGAGGATCGATCACAGATTTAAGAGGCACAGGCTTGGATGGATAGATGGAGGGAGAAAGATCAGCAGTGAACACAGTTTGAAGGTGTTTACGGTCCGTGGAGATTTCTTACAGAAAGAGGAAAGAAATAGAGAGAAAGAAAAAAACAATTCAGCATAGTGTGAGGAGAAAGAGCAGGATAGGGGTCAATTGAACCTTTAGCCCCAGTAGTATCAGAGGTGTTACAGGGCGAGACGGTTATAGCTGAGCCAGTTGGCGAGCACAGCGCTGTCTGTACATGTATGACTCTGTGTGTATGTGGAGCTCTCGCTTTGCTGTGCTTCTGCAACTCTGAAACGCATTGGGAATTCACGGACTGGGACACCAATATTACGCCGTTTTACACTTTTTTTCAACCAGAGAAAACTTTTTCAAGAGAGACATGTCCAAGCAAGCTGTGCATCATAGTAATATTTTCCATATATACAGGGTGATATTTATACCAACAGTTCATACATTTGCAAGTGAACTGAACTCTGTATTGAATATAATCCTGTATGTTTTGGCCTTAACTAGGGCTCCACAATCAATCACATACATTTAACAAAAGTCTCAATTAATTGAATTTATCCTTTATTAATCCTGCAAGGGGAAATTCAGTTTTTACACTGTGTTTAATGAACGTGCTACACAAACATGCACTAACAGGATCCTATGGACATGCATAAATGGAGAGGTCTCAGAGTGAGGGGGCTGACCACAGCGAGCGCTCCAGAGCAGTTTTGGGGTTCGGTGCCTTGCTCAAGGGCACCTCGGCAGTGCTCAGTAAGTTGGACTGGCACCTCTCCAGCTACCAGACCAATTTCCGGACTTGGTCCGTGCCGGGACTTGAACCCTCCGATTAGCAACCCAAGGCCGTACAGACTGAGCTACTGCCGCCCAAAAGGTTGTTGCATTGGCCGGGAATTGAACCCGGGCCTTCCGCGAGAATTCTACCACTGAACCACCAATGCAGAGCATTGAGCACGACACATAATAAATTATTAAAACATGCGATGCTTTCTCGCTCAGCATGTTAACACTTCAATTTCACACCATTTTAATGCCGTTAGATGAAGCCTAATTGAGCAGTCAGCTACCTTCAGATTACTCGGTGCCAATAGATATCGTAGGTATTTGATATCGCTGAACTCTGTATTACACTACATGCTTTTTATTAAAAGTAATGTATTAAAAGTAGTATAATTAGTATTAAAAAAATTATCAGATACAGGTTTCATTTGAATGAAGCAGTTTTGAGATTATTTGGTACTTGGCTATTTTAGTATATTCATCATAGTAACTAAGTACCCCGTGTCTGTGTACGTCAGTTACATGATTCAACCACAAGGGGGCTTTCGCAGATCTGTAGTTAAAATCTTTTTCATTAGTAGTAGGGTGCAAATCGCTCTGAATCTAAAAATAATTGTCCCATTTGTGTAACTTCTGATATGACCGAGTCATGAATCTGAGCAAAGGTAGGTAGGATCTTCCTAACAAACTATGTCAACCATTAATTTCAAGACACACTTTAATTTCTTGCTCTTCAGATTTTATCAGTCAAAGTGAAACTTTAGGATATTGGTTTTTCTCCTTCATCTTCTGAAACTTGACAAGGATATGCACACAGATAAAGTGAATGACACATTAATGAAGAAAACATCAGACCTTCATGAGATTTTAAAGGAATGCAGAAAGAAGTTGCCAAGTAAACATTGTTGGAAACATTTTACATTTTGTTGGTGTAAAACCTGGCAAATGCAGCTAAAAATAAAAACGGCAGCAACTGGATTCTTTAAATAAAAGTTTTGAAGTGAAAACTTTGCAAAAACATGATTTTTCCAGCCCAGTGATATTGAAAATACCTTTAGGAGCAGCCACTGTAATAAAACCTGCCTCAGCAACAAACAGCTGAGAGTCACGCCTTGTGAAAAAGGTTGAGTATTATAAAATGCGTTACGAATCTAATAACAAGGACAGGGATATGAGACGATGATGAAACTGCAGATGTGTTTGAGTAGAGTAATACGTATGAGATGCAGGAGAGACGAGGAGGAACACTTTGGTTCCACAGGAGGAGGGAGATGGAGAGGAGAGATTAGAGGGAGGAGAGGATGAGACATGATGCTCCTGTTAACGAGTCAGAAGGAGGGAGGTGTGGCACTCTGTTTTCATTAACAGCTTGGTTTGATGCTCTTATACCTGCATGCATTAGGCAAATTATTCAGGCACTAGCTTGCAGCTAATGTAACATTCATGAAAGGTTAAACTAGCAAAGACGGACTCCTAGCAGGATGGTCATGGCTTTGCTCTGACTTCTGCTCAGGCCTTTAACAAAACAGGTAATTCCCCAGCTCACAGCGAGCAATACTTTCCTGGACTGCCGTGGCCTGGCAGCGTAATTGGCTGCAAAAGTGTTATTAAGCTTGGCCTTTGCGAAAATCAAAGATTTGTTGAGCCCAGAGGCTTTCAGCATCTCCACCCATTGCTGTAGGCAGGAAGAAATACAAAGTTTGGATTTCCATTTTCCAGAATAATGACATCACTCTTGATCAAGTTTATTTTCTCACCTGTGTGTGCATGTTTAAGTTACTTCACCGTACATTAAGCTTCACTGCTGCTCCCTGTTTGACCTGAACAGTGACTTAATGCTTTTTAGTTAATCCGTTGATATTTGAAGACTGACTTT